AGCATCTTCTTGTCCAAAGTTGAATTGTATCGTAGGTAAGGCTTTCGGCTCGCCGGTCGGTAGTGGAACGAGGGATTCGATGCGGTTTTTGAAGGGGACCTTTGTCCAATCAAAAGACTTGTACTTTTGCTCTTTCTTTGGTTGTTGGCTTTGCTGGCTCTCCGGGCCTTTGTCGGCGTTTACAGGCGCGTCGCCAGGCTGCTCGTATGGAAAGCTGAGGGACCAAAGCATGTACAGGAAGCCCACGGCGAGGACGGTGTATAGCCCATAGCGTCGCAAAAGCGCCATGGTGTATTACAAGAATTAAGTAAAAAGGGGTATAAAAAAGGGAAGAAGATGGACGCGCAAGACGATGTCTGCGCATTACGAACTGTGGGGAGGCTGATGACGGCGGTTCCTGCCAAGTCGGGAGGCGGCATCCTTGTCGTACACTGGACCCTGTACCTGATTACGCGCCGCTCTCCACGTCCGGACGCCCATCATTGCATCATCAAGACAAGTGCGACGGAGAATAGAATGCGATCCGAGGATGCTGAGTTCGGAGCACGATAGCTAGCCCGAGGAAGCTTTAGTACGGTCATCATATTCACCTACTCGGCGCGCACCTTGATTTAACACGAAACTTATCAAGGGGATCGCGTACCACAACGTCAACATGCCTCAGATACATTCTGTCCAAGGCCACTGATGATGTTTGGAGCATATTCGAGTCACAATGGCAATGTTAGCTTCATCTTCGATACATAGCGACACACCTCACCCCCTTTGTGAATTTCATCCACGTATGATTTGACATGTTTTTTCTTTCTCTGTTATGTACATCTGGACTCAGCTTCTATGACAGCGAGAGATTTGTATGTGACACCCGCAATTGTTATTGCAACTGCGCAATGGTCGTCTGTGTCTTCTGCTATGTTCATTCCTTCCTACTTAGACTCTGCTGGTGGCAGCATGACGACGTACTCCCTCTCACTGCCTCCAAATTTGAGTATGTCCTTGTCCCTCAGCTCAAAGTAGCGACTCGCCTCGAGATCCTCTCCGTTGAGCTCTGTGCCATTACTGCTTTCCAGGTCAATGATGTAGGGCTTGACTTTTCCCTTGTGGCTCTTGACACCGAATTCGTCTTCAACCGTCTTTTGTATGTACCGAAACTGGATGACTGCGTGCTGTCCACTTGAGCTAGGGTGGTCGAGAACGTAATCGGCGACTTCCCGAGATCGTCCCAGTAGCCAGCAGCTCTTGTTCCAGAGTTCGATGGTCTCTAGCACATCGTCGCCCTTGAACACGAAGATGCGCCAGGGTTGTGAAGCGGGCGGTTTGCGTGCCTCGGGCGGCTCGTGGTACTTGAGGGAGATCTTGGTGCCTTCTACGCGGTTGGCAGCTTTGGCTAGCGCGCCAGTAGGCTTGAAGTTGGGCTTCTCCTTGTCAGGCGGTGCGCCGCCATACTTGGAGGGTGGCTGGGCCGAGTCGTCAAGCCCCCGGAAGGAGACTTCTTGTGAAGGTAGCGGTTGTTTGGCCCGCTTGTGGGGCGGCGGTGAGCGCGAGGGCGATGGAGAGCGTGTGCGCCGGTGACGTTTGGGCGGTGGAGATGTGGATGCAGAGGGCGAGCGGGTGCGCGGTTTACGAGAACGGTACGGTATGGGCGAGCGTGAACGTCTGCCCTCTTTGGACTTGTCGCGGCGGCGTCGCTCTCTGGACCGCGAGCGATCTCGCCGGCCGTGTCTGTCCGTAGAGCGATCGCGCTTTCTGTTCCTGTCTTCGTCCTTCTCGTGGGAGCGATCGCGCCTTCTGTCCCTCGAGCGATCTCTCTTTCTGTCGCCCGATCTTTCTCGCCTCTTGTCGCGTGACCGGTCTCGTCGCCTGTCTCTGGATCGGTCCTTCCTCCGCTCTCTTGATCCATCGCGCTTCTTCTCTCTGGAGGAGCCTCGCGGCTTCCTGTATGGTTCCGGCGACCGTTCCCGCCTGCGGACAGCGCTTGGCTCGACTGTCGTGGCCTTTGGCTCACGGGCGTTCGGTACGTTCTCGGGCTTCCTCTCTCTCGATCTGCTTCTTGAGCGGCGACCAGATGCTACCGAAGGCTCCTTCCCAACGCGCTCGGATCCATGTCTCGACAACCTGCTCGGGCTTCCGTTCCTGCTCGCGACTGCCGGGGGCGAGGCAGTCTGGCCTTGGACTAGCTGTTGCGTGAGCAGCCGTCGCGCGCTGTAGGGCGACAGGTCTCTCGCCATATCGGGCCCGATTGCTGAGCACTGGGGCGCAGTCGCGGTGTCGAGATTGGGGGCGCAATGACGATCCCAACTTTTTCTCTAGTGGCTGGTGGATACAGCCAACGTCAACGGGCTTCCTGGGGGCGGTGCCAAGTCGCCTGCACTGCGGTGGTAGCCGGCTAGACCATTACACCGTAATTAGTAGTGGGCTGCGCAAAGAAGCAGAAAGGAATGCGACTAGTACGCAATAGCCGGTTAGCGATTGAAGCTGTCGGTCGCGACTTCCCCAGAGGCCCAAGCTTCCTGCAACTTCGTCACGGCGTCGCGCTACCGCGCCTCATCTTCATCTCGTCTATTCGCTGCATGTACACGGCGGCGCCACTATCCACTCCAAGGCGCCTATGTATACGATATGCAAGGAGCTTGTGTTTCTCTCCCACCCAGTCGGCCCATTTGGCCCCTGCAGCAGCGTCTTCAGCCGGATCCAGACAGGTACGGCGTGGTTTGCAGCCCCGAAACATGACAGCGGGCGTTATGAAGGCGGCCAAGATGGGCGCCTTGCAAACGTAGCCAAACCATCGTCCCAGTGCCCGCAAACTCTCTGGCGATTGCCTTTCCGCCTATCTCTCTCTCTTCGCACCATATCGTAGCCCGAGCGCCTGTAGTTTCCATCCTATCTTCATGCCTCCGCTGTATTGCTGCCACTGAGTGCGGCGTGCGCAACGATCGCGCAATGCCGTCCAAGCGAATCCTTTCCTGGTCAAAACGCCAGTCTAGTTCAGAGCCCTACTATCGCACTGGGGGGTTGCTATCGATTGAGTCGATTGAGCCCGAGTCCAACACCGACGTTGAAGCAAAGGTACGATAACAGGCACAGAACCATGTCAGTGCGCTGCCAAAGACAACGGCATCTTATGCACAACGAGACGACCCGTACACCAATGTCAGCGACCGTCTGGAAGTCGGTGTCTGCAGCTGTCTTGTGGTGCCTTACCATTCGCTAATCATCTCTTCCAGACTACGCTGAAAGTTGAAAAACGACGTTCAACTAACCTCGTCATCTTTCCATCGGACGACAGACAATATGTATCCAGTCCTATCACACCCCAGTACGATACAGCCGTGTTCAAGACTGTCACGACCCTCCAGACTGCGTCTAGCGACATGTTGCGCTCTCCGGTGCCCAGTACGATTGCATGCTCGAGATCTGCCTCCATAGAAAAGCCTCTACCCAGTCGCCCACGGTCCGCCTCGGTACCATCGATTGCAGAACTACCCGCTGAGCTCCCTGGTTCTCTTCTCTTAGAGAATCAAGGGTTTCCATCCTGTACGACTCCAGTGTCCGTCCAACCCACAATCCAGCTCTTTCGAAGGGAGAGTCACCCACCTGACAAGCGCTTGAGCCACGGGAGTACATGCTTGAATGCATTGGATTTGGTCCCGTCACCATTGAATCATACGAGAAGCGTTCCAGAACTAAGCTCGCGGTATAGCATCATGAGAAACGTTCCTACCAGCGATGCACTTGATTCACGTGTTATGGCCCAAGCCGGCCTACCAGCGGCATTGGATGACAAGTGTTTGAACAAAACCGGAATGCGGAGACGTTCGAGACCGGACCTGATTACTGCGCTCTCTGCCATGGACGGAAAGGTTTCGACAAACAGAAGCGACAGGCGTGGTTCTAGTCAGATTCGGCAGGTCCAAGAGAAGAAAGTACGTGATCGGGATACCGAAAAACGCCGACGCAGCAGTCAAAATGAAGTGAGTGCTGTTTGTTTCTTGATAGAGGCGTGTTTACTGGACAAACAAGAAGGCTGCATAACGAAACAGTTTCAGAACTTCTTTGTGTACCATCTCCAACTCTGATGCGACGATGTGTGCCTGAGTTAGATGTACTTCTCTGCCGTTAGGCCATGGCATCTGGCTGCTCGCTGGCAATGTATTGTTGTATCCATGGATCCGAGGCCTGGCAGGCGAATAGTGGTGGTGTCAGGTTTCACATTCTCATGTTGCGCGGGCGGCACTTGCACAAACCGTCACCACTCTAGTCTCATCGCCATGCCTCTTTCTCTGCCTCGTAATGGCCAATTCGGGCCGTTTCAGCTGCCCAGCATGTATTGCATCCAAATACTAACTATACCCAGGCGTCTACTGCGACCAATTCATCGACGCGCAGCAGCCAGATCGACGAGCTAAAAACGATCATTGCCACACAGAATCAGACAAACTCCGTCCTACAATCTCAGTTCGCCGCCTTGAGATCGTCGCACGAAGCACAAGTTGCAAGCCTCGTGGACGCACACTCTGCGGAGGTTGCATCTTTGAAAGATCACATTCGGTTGCTTCAAGAGCAGAACAGCAAGCACGGCCTGCACCAGGGTGAGTACCCTTCCAAGTATTCCTGCTCAGTCCACCACTATACTTCACTGCTTTGTGAAGACGATCTCTCTCAACGGGTTAGATCGATCAGTAGGGCTTTTCGAGCTGTGCATCCGTGACACCAGCTATCAGTTCAGCATGCTAAACGTGTCTAGTGTCGAGGAATAATACTTCGCTTGTCTCGGATAGCGCTGAGCTGCCACACACGTCGATTCGCGAAACCCCGCCGATTGCTGAAGACCCCGACTTTGTCTGTCCGGTCGAATCTGAAAGCAAACAGCGTTCACACCGGCGATCAGAAAGCAGCCCAGAGATGGTAATGATACACCCGCTCTCCTTCTGAAACCGACTGCTAATTTGGACTGCCAGGAGAGCTTGAAGCGGAAGCTCAGCGCCACACGTCGACCAGAAATGACAACTCGGAACCTGCTCCCAGAGCTCAATCAGTACAGACAAAACAATGTTGCTCTCCAACAGCAGATCGAATCATTGATGGCGAAGTTGAACGAATCGAAGAAAAGCGAGAGAGAGCTTCGTTCAACACTAGGACTGACCGAGATGAGATGTGCTGAGTTCGAGGACAAGGCAACGCACGCTGACAAGCTTGCCAAATCCACGCAGGCTCTGCAAAACACTATAGATCATCTCGAAAGCCGTCTCGAGATCGCCAACACTGAGCGACTGGACGCGGAAGAGCAACTTTCGAATTTGATGAACGGGAAATCACCCTTCGACCTCACCTCCAAGGGACCACCTAGCACGAGTCACCCAGCTTCCGATAGACGTATGAGTATGAGTACGGTCTTCTCGAGCGCTTCGCCTATCAGTTCAGAGCTTGACTCGCAAGAGAACGCAACGCTAGCTTCTTTTGTTGCGCACATTGAGCGTCTGCAAGACCAGGTCAGAGAGAAAGATCATCGCATTGCGAAACTGGAGAAGGAGCGAGAACAGCTACGACGAGCACGCAGCGAGCTAGAACAGGAGCACAAGACAACTGCCGGTCGTTCAGGCACACACCACCCAGACACTCACATGGAAAGCCTTCGAGCCGCAATCCTGAATCGCGAATCCGTAATTGAGGAGAAGGACAGGGTCATTTGTACAGTGGAAAGACAGTTGGAACATCACAAACTCTTGTTGCAAGCGGAAACCAGACGCCATGCGGCAATGAAGCTTCACGTGGCTGGGGAAGGGGAAGACAGCTGGCCCGAGCTTGCCTCCATTGCGAGACGGGAAGACATCGATAGGTGGATGGATAGGCTCCACGAGCGCTTGAGGAGGGAGCAATCTAAACAGAAGGGAAAGGCTCTTGCCGATACTCCGGATGTGCAGATGGAGAGCTTGCGACAGGAGATCGACTTCTACGTTAGGGAAATCATTCTCTTCAAGCTCGACATCAAAGGTTACAAGAGCGACATTCGAAAGCTGAAGAAGATCACTGCGCAAATGGAAGCTTACGGCCGGACGAGCGATCTGGAATCTGAAGCATGTTCTCTCAGGCCAACAGCTACACCTGCTCCCTCATATTTCCCGCCGACCACACCAGAGCTCGATGGCGCCAGTGTTGTCTCGCCTGCTATAGACGAAGGTCATATTGTGACTGCCCTGGGAGGATCCCCGGTTGCTATCTCCCCATTGGCTCCCTCGCGCGATCGGGACCGCGTCTTCATGGCATCAAGAAACTCACGCGAGCTCGACATACCAGCAACATTGTATGAGGTGGCGCATAAGGATGATTACGCAACCGGAGCTGATCTCATGGGTGCTGGGGCCTCTTCAAACTTGGTCTTACCGCGGACAGCTACGGTATGTGCGCGCTGACGGTGTTCGAGCCCGCCGTCTAACTCGTCCAGTGCAGCGAACTTATCACAAGCTTCCCATCACCCAATTCAGCTGTACCAAACCAGCGCATTATACACAAACGTAGTATGAGTGAACCATTATTTAGGGCGTATCAGACCTCCCACGGAGACCATGGACCGATTGCGGAACGAGTGGAAGGTATACAAGGATGCTACTTGAGAGCACCAGTGAATCGCAGACGCTCGGCATCCAGCGCGCACATTGCGCAAATATTGTCAGCGAATGTGTTCGCCGAGCGAACTTCGCCAGCTCTTTTCTCGCCAGATCCTCAAACAGCCTCTTCACTACATGACACGAACAACGATGCTACGCAGCCCTCGCTTCAATCTGAACGCAGACACAGCACTGCTTCATCGTCAAGCATGCCTGTTGTCACATCTGTGGGTCCACCACGCAAGTCAGCTCTGAAAACCCCATTCGCTGCCACTATGCCAATGAGCTGTTCCATCACCCGCAATGCGCCGTTCAGCGCATGGCCAATATCTCGAACAGGCATCGACACCGATGACATCACCAGTCCCAGACACCGCTTCGAAGTGCTTGACCTCAGCTCGCATGTCTAGACTCGCAGCTACGCAGCAGCAAGACCAGGCCACAAGTTTGACCAGAAAGACCTCACACTCGCGCAACGTGAGCGAAAGTAGTGCCCGTACTGTGATCCGTACCTAAGAACCCGGCGATGAGTAAGAGTAGAGAGCTAGGCATGCGTAACGTTTGTAGGGTGGAAGGCATTAGTATATCCAGAGCTAATACATCGACATCTGGTCTTGGTGGTTACGTATGGTCTTGTTGTGGCCCCTCAGTTAGAGTTCATGGAGTCATCAGCTCCAAACTAGGTACTGTTGAACAATTATGGTAATTACGTTAAGAAAGTGCTACTTGTTGCCTATCACGCATTGTATCGTGTATTCCTCATTGCCGGCGTGATGGCTGCTTCACTCGTGGCGCTAAGTGGAGCCATGTCGAATGAGGAAATGATCCGCGTGTTTCACGCGTTGCGCCTCCACGCGCTTGCGCTGCACATCTGCGCAACTGCATTCTCGGGTAAAATCCATTCATACCCTCTTGCTTTTATTGAAATCACACGTTCGATGACGTTTTGGAGATCGAGGTACTGCCTTACCCCATATAAGGAACAGTAAGGCCGAGCTTCACATGGGGTGTAGAGCAATGTGGAGTGTAGTCTTTGTGCAGAGCACCCATGGTGAACTATACATCTCTACTCAGGATCGTTGAGCTAATAAAGACCAGACGATGCACATGTGTCCTTCACGGCCATACGAGTCGCCAATGCTATCAGAAGATGTGGCCGCAACTTTCCCCTTCAATCACGACCCAGCGATTGACGAGACAGATCCATGGATGATAAGGAGACATTTGCTTGCCATGGAAAGCATCGCAGTCTACGCAGCAAAATATGGAAATTCTGCTCTTGCCTAAGAGTCTAGCTTGAGGGTGCTTTCCTCGACCACCGCGTCGCGCATGTATCGGGTGCCCCGTTCTCAACTTCCTCGGGAACGACCTATAGGCTCAACAGCTATCGCAAAGATTGAGCATACTCACTTATCGCTCCCATCTCTTCGATAAATCCTCCGCATTGTCGCACCGTGCGTCACACTCGTTTCCTTATCCCAGAGTCTGCTCAATAAGACTTTGGTACCAGACGACTGCGCCAACTTCCAGGTTCACTTTCACTTTGACTACAACGCTCAATCTGGGACGTCTTAGCTCAGCTAGCGTGACGTGAAATTATTCGTGTATCCGCTCGCTAGGCTGCTCTACCTTTCGTTCCCTTCTGTGCTCCTACTCCCCTGTTGCGAAAATACCCATCAGCGCGCGTCAGCACATCAGCTTCCCACTGCACCCAAACAGCTCGGCATCTTGCAACATGGCTCGCGTCAAAGTAGCACCAAAGAAGGCGTATGAAGAGCCACGTATCGACTCAGGCGCAGCGCTCTCAGATCCTGCCGTACCCTCCGATGGACCCGCGCCGAATGGGTAAGCGTGTATCCACAAGATACCAGACAGACCAAGCTAAGAATATCAATAGCACTCTCGTAATGCCCATCCTTCTGAAGACGAATTGGGACCTCGGTACTCCCAAGGCTCGCCTCCATAAAAGTGATCTCCAGCTGCGCCAACCGAAGGGCTTTCCCATTACACCACTCAAGATTACACTCGACCGCGCTCGCAAAGAGGCAGCAATCAAGGCTCTAGCTAAGAATTGTGTCGATTCAGACTTTGAAGCCTACGAGGAGTTAGAAAAGGTTGGCGAGGTCAAGAAAGAAATCGAGGTTGAAGAGAAAGACGATGATGAGGAAGCAGAAGATACAGCAGATGAGGAATTAGAGGGTTCCGTGTACGACAGTGCGGACGGCAGCGCAAATGACAGCGACGATTCCTACGAGCTTCCAGCTACCAGAGTCGTCACCGAGAAGCCTGCTGCGCTTGTCGACACTCGCGGACGGACTCGAGCAGCTACAAATCGACGCAAGGCTCAAGAGGCATCTGAAACCACGACGCAGACAAGCGTCTAGAATGAGGACGGGGAGAGTGCGACAGTGGACGAGAAGGAGCGCATGTGAAATGATAAGCTGGCGATCAAGAAATCAATTTGAGGCTCAAAGTCACGTCTTGGGAAGTTCGCTGCATTGCGCGGCAGAACACGCATGTAGGCGATGTGGCTCGGATGTATCTCGGCATGTAAGCACTGGCGGACATCTTGGATGGCCTCGGCATCTTAGTAACCAATGATGTTACAGCAGGAGCAATTACCATATCAATGTGTCTCTAGTATTGTACGATCTGTCAAAGCATTCACTGGAATGCAGTGATGAGTGTGCCTTGCAAACGCCCTGCTTGGCGCAAATAGGCCGAAATCCGGCATCAAACGCTAACCGAATGCGGATCTCAAGCTTCGCAACCACGTGTGAGCGCGTATGCGAAACCCTGGGAGAGTTCCGCTGCAGCCCCTCCATTACCCACACAGCTGCCTCCCCCAACTACTTGACGAGTGCTTCGCACCCTTTCCCGCTGTTGTCTCTTACTCACTTCCAACCCCAACCCCACCAGTCCGCCAACAACCCGTGGACACTTCAAGAGCATTGCGATAGGAGCGGACGGTAGCTGTATCAGCGCGCTATCTTCTGCTGCTGTCGAAATGGCCGCCGAAGCCCAGAAACTGCTTCTAAAACAATGGGCCAAGGACACCGATCATGTCGTTGATGACAACAATTCACCCAAGGCCGAGTTCGCGCGCCTGGCAAAGGCAAAGGGATGGACCGGCGGAGATACCGAATGGTGTCATCACTGGAAAGCGTGTTTCGATGAGACATACACATGGAGAGTTCGTCGTAAGTTCAGCTCGCTCCGCTTGATGCATGTTTGATGATGCTTCCTTGATGATGTGAGGAAGTCGGAAAGGCGGTGTCCAGCAAACCATTACTAATGCATGGCATCAGACAAGTCAACAACAACCGATACCACTGCAGTCAAGAAAGTGACGGCTCAAGCTGGTGGAATCGATCTCACAGACCGTATGCGAAGTCTCTCCATTGGTTCTGATACGTCGTCTTTCTCGGTCATCTCACGTACGTCGGCGAATTCTTTCGAAAGTGTGAGGTCGATCAACAGCGACCAGTCACACGAAGCTGAAGGACTTTCCACCAGCCCACAACCTCCACCGAACACAGAAGTCTCGGATAGCACCGACTTACAAAACAGCGTACTGTCTCTTGATACGGTCAAGTCCCTGGAGGAAATTTCTGGGGGCGTTGAGATCTCGGACACGGCTTCAGAACACAGCGATGCTGAGTCAGAGGCTTCATCGCTAGAGTTCGACGAAAACCCAGCGTGGAGTGAATACACCAACTTCGTGCACCGCCCAGATGCGTCCTTTCAGTCAGAGTTCGAACGTCTAGCTCGCACCAAAGGTTGGGTGGGACGTATCAAACGTCAGCACCTAGTCGAGCTGCTCACTAGCGAGGTTGAGTTCTACTGGGGTGGGGACGACGTTGACAAGCTTGAATATTACCAGTTCCTATGTCAGGAGATGGGCGTCAAGCAGATCCCTTTGACTGTTACCCAGGCGAAGAACGTAAGCGCACCATCTATGAGCCCATACAAAAGTACGCCGCTGACAACACATAGGCTCTTCGGCCTCTCAAAGTCAACCTTTACAGCGTTATCGACCACATGCGCAATCCGGAGATCAAGGTCATCACATACAAGACTATCCGCGAGCTTCGCCAAAGCGTCCGCAAGAAGGGCACCTTTCCGAGGCAATGTGCTAAGGCTGGTGAAGGCTGCATGGCCGCTTTGCTGTCCAAATTGTAGTTGCATTGATCTATCTGGATTTGCAACGGTAATTGGATATGCGTGTGGCTTCTTGCATCTAGGCATCTCATGGTACATCCGAATTTTGGAATAAGATGGTGCTTGCAGCGGTGTACGGCCGAGCCAGTGTGGTTGGGGCGGCGACTGAACGTCATTAGTTCGCCGCATGTTTGCCGTCTCTCCTTATCTAACCAATGGAAATAAACTCGAAACCTCATCGCGTTCTGGAATGATGTGATTCCTTGTGTGGAGGCTTCCAGCGTTTTTGTCATGCCGAATGCGTGACTTCCCCGTTCACCAATCCTCAACGTTTCGCTCATCCTTCACCGTTAACTCAATTCATTCGTACGCTTTTCGTGGGCGTCTCGTCCCTTTTTGACAGCTTAGAATAAAGTTAACCTCTGCTATCTCAACACAACCCGCACTCATCAACACAAGCCACCACGACAACGAATTACGCTCATCATGGCGTTAGAAGTACTCGTCTCAGATGCCCAGCAGGCACTGTTTCATACATGGGCTATTGGCAGCGTCTTCGTGCTCGACATTCAAGAGGCACCCAAGAGCCAGTTCCGCGCACTCGCAAAGCTGCTTGACTGGGTTGATGGAGAGCAGACTTGGTGTTCCCGTTGGGAGGAGTGTTTCGGAGAAGAATACACATCGAAGTCTCCTGGTAAGTTCGTTGCGTATGTTTATACACAGTGCTAATGGCTCTTAGCTATTGAAGCTTCCGCTGCTGATACCGCCTCCGATCTCAACCACCAAGACGCAACCACTTCCGCCAGCGCCGCTTCTGATGTGGTTCTCGAGAGCTTAAGCACCCTTGCTATCACCGTCACTGACGCCATCCACGAGGACGCAGTTACTCCTGCTAGTACACCTCCGGGCATCATCACTGGGAGTATAGATACCCTTTCGTCAATTCCGAACGCCGGCGAAGATCGTGAAGCCTGTCTCCGTAAGGCCTCTGTCTGGTCTCAGTTCCACGGTTTCGAGCCAAATCCCAGGGCGCGCTTCAACCGCGAGTTCCGGCGCCTCGCCAGACAAATGAAATGGACTCCTCAGGAGCGGCGCAGTTATCGGACCGTTCTGTTCAACGCCGACTGGGAAGCTCACATAGGGAGTGAATTGGAAAATTTGGCACACTGGCAAGAGCTTTGTCGCCTTTGTAGCATTGATCCGATCCCCACTACTATTGTTGGCTGTATGGAGGTATTTTGGTTTCCTCTGTTCCATGAAAGTCACTTACTGATATTTGTCCAGGTGCTTGCAGACGTCTTGGTCAACATCTTCGATCTGCTTGACTCGCAGCGGACGGGCGCCAACGTCTTGGTGTTCCAGGACTTCCAGGAGTTCAGAAAATACACCCGAAAGAACCGTATATATCCCATTGACGAAGCGAAGGCAGACACGTTCTTGCCCATCTTTCTCAAGAAAGTACTCTGAAGGCGCAAGCATCAAGACGAATCGCTGCGGCCAGGCGAGAGTGCCTGTCGCGTTACGCTGGAGTCTTAGTATGGTTCGAGCTGCCCTTGGATTCGTACAAGAGAGATAGGAGGCTTTGTTACTTCAGGTGCTATTTTGAAGGGTCTCATCTACCTATGGAAGATCGTGCTACGCCGGATGATGTTCCGGGATCATTCCTCCTGGGTTAAATTCAGTAGCTCTTCACGTTAACCCAGGGCTTCTGTTTACTCTCTCTCCCTGTTATGCACATGCATACATGCGGCACAGTTGCTCCACCGTGCAGCAGGCACTCATTGCGATCGAGGCTCATTCGATGTTCAAATCCCAAAGCCACCACCCACATCGTTAGGGCCTATGCAACTATGCCTGTAGAGAATACTGGCAGAATGTTCCAGCTCATTGCCGACGTGGCGCCAGGGATCTCGGGTGTTCCACGTCCTCAATGGTCCGATTGTCTGCTCATCTCGGTTTGCTGCAGATTCCCGTATGCACCAAAGTATCGATTTAAGGAGTCTCGGTTTATATCCACTGCTCTAGAACCTCAGTATCCGTACGAGACTCTCCACCATGTCCCATCGACATGCAGACCACGCCCGTGAGTATACTTCCTTGACGTCCTACGCTACACACTCTAACTGACCTGTTTAGACACCGCAGCCTCTGCTGCGAACCCAAACAATTCGACTGCTCAGGACATAGATCAGGTCGCCGCATGGTTCCAGAAGTTTGCACCCTTCGTATACGACACAAGTGCCAGCACCAGGAGTAACTTTGATTGTCTCGCCTCACAGCGCAACTGGGGCGATAAGCTTCGAAGGAAGCAGTGGACCAGTTTGCAGGCGGCCTCAGCGGCGCCAAACCATACTGACGCGGATGCTAATGCTCATACCGATACCCCAAACCAGGGCGGCGCATGGTTCCAGCAATTCGAAAATTTCGTACACGATCCAACGGTCGGAATCAGGAGCAATTTCGAGCGTCTAGCAGCACAACGCAGCTGGGGCAGCAGACTGAAACAGAGGCGTTGGGCTGAATGCCAGGAGGAGGAATTCGGCTATGCATATGGAACGAATACAACAAAGCTAGAGAGCTGGCAGAAGCTCTGTCGTGAGGTACACATCAGCGATCCACCAGACAGTATAACACAGTGTAGACAGGTAAGGAGAGTTGTAAGCGATACAAAGTTGCTGCTAACCGTGGGTAGGTGCTTGGCAGCCGAAACGTGCTGGTCAATCTGATGAACCTTATTGACCATCGTAACATCGGCGTGGAAGTGATCCGATTCCAAAACTACTCCAAGTTCCGAGCGTACACATGTCCGAAAAGGGTGTTTCCTTTGAAGAAGGCGAAGGAAGATGGCTTCATCAAGGCGTTGTTAAGGAAGTTGTGATGGAGGCCGGAGGAACCCGCGTGGGCCGTAATTGCACCTGTGGGCAGAAGCAATATCAGGGGGTTACAACACCAGACGCGTGCGAGGAGAAACGGGACTAAAAAGATAGTTGCTTATTTGTATGAGTCAGCGGCCGCTTGGCGACACGTAAACATTGTGTTTACACTTTCTAGCCTTTTCTTTTCTCCGTGTGCACAACAGTCCCAACGTCGCTCTTGGTTAGTGTCGCGCGATACTCCGGAAACCACCTGGGCACTATTGGCGACTGCCGCAGTTGCGCGCACCACTGACCCTGCAAGATGGTTCGCGGAAGTCGCGCTAGTGAGTAGCGTACATAAACAAGCAATAGCGATATGCTCACACTGAACAGAGGGAGGCGTCTCCATTGCACCTGAAGCTGTGACAACTGCTTCTGCTTCCTCGAGCGACCGTAGCACTCCTCCTCCAAGCGACGACGGTTCCTCTGATGAATTTCGTGACTATTTCTCGCAAGAAAAGTTTAATGGATTTGTCCCAGATCCCGAGGACGATCTCATAGCGAAACTCAGCAAGCTTTCGATCCACCAAGGTTGGTCCAAGAGCGAGGCGAAGCGTCGTCGCGCGGAGGTCGTTGAGTTCGAGGTGTCTCGACACTACGGCCATGACAAGTCAAAGCTGGAAAATTGGCAGAAGCTGTGTCGTGATGTCAAGATCGAACCTGTACCGCCTTCTATAACACAGTGCAAAAAGGTTACACTCTTTTCCCCCAGTCGCATAGCTCTGCTGACGTATCCTCGTAGGCTCTTTCACGCGTCTATGTCAACATCTTCAACATCCTGGACCATCTAGACAACCCCGAGCGCTACGATGTCGTTGTCTTCAAGAACTACAAGCTCTTCCGTGCATATACGCTGAAGAGCCGCATCTTCCCTCTGGATCTGGCTAAGGAGGACGGGTTTGTCAAGGCTCTGCTTCGCCCGCTCTACATGAGGAGGAAGTAGTAGCAGCATCGGCGCTTCAGGAAACTTGAATGCGATGGATGTTTGGATTGTCGGATGGAGTTCTTGGTGGTCTTGTAATGCTTCTTTCTTGACTCGTTTTCGTCTGCGTGGCGTGAGTGGGGATGTAAGCAAAGGCGCGGCTATCCGGCTGCGAGGGTGCAGGTGACCTGGACACCATCCTTGATGGGATTACACGTCCACGCAGTAGTTAGAGTCGCTGATCTAAACGATGTTGGTGTAATATCTTTGGGGACGCATGTGAAGTCAGGACTAGTAGGCGAGATGTTCGGAGGCCTTGCCCGTCACAGCCGTAGTGCAGCTTAGCGAGGCCTAAACAAAGCTCACCCCGTGGTATCCCCCGCTCTGCACAACTCACCCGTATCGTCGATCTGCTGGTATATCCCTCAAGGCAAACAACCTTCACCATGCGCTGCCGGTCGCGCTTACCCCAGGCGGCGAAGGCAATGTGGCCTTGCGCGCCCCTCCATCCTCCGTGAGAGCTGCAACGACCCAACCAGCGACCCTCGCGACCAAACACCAGTCCAACGCATACGATGCAGCAGGAGAATGAGCGCATGAAGCTCAAAGATGGCCGGACCCTCTCCTACGCCATCTACGGCAGCCCGATGCCACAGAAGACGATAGTCTTCATGCATGGCTGCCAATCGTCGCGCTACGAAGGCAAGCTATGGCACTCGGCCTGCGCCCTACACAACGTCCGCATCATCGCGCCCGACCGTCCTGGCAGCGGCCAGTCGACCTTCCAGATCAACCGTCGCATCCTCGACTGGCCTACCGACGTGCTCGCCCTGGCAGACCACCTCAAGATCCACAACTTCTACGTGCTGGGCGTGTCGGGAGGCGCGCCCTATGCACTGGCTTGCGTCAAGGAGGTGTCGAGGGACCGTCTGCTGGGAGTCAGCATCGTCAGCGGTCTATACCCCGTCAAGTTCGGTACATCTGGCATGTTGCTCCCTTCGCGCATCGTCCTTTGGGCAGCGCCGTGGGTGAACGGGCTCACCACCACTTTATTCGAGAGCACCATCGGTAAGCCAAGTCGCGATGACGACCCGAAAGTCCTCGAGGACATCATTGCCAAAGAGATCCGGAGCCGCCACCCCGCCGACCAAGAAGCTATCCATGATACCACCAACTGGCCCATCTACGTAGCCATGACCAGAGAATCGTTCCACCAGGGAAGCGAAGGCGCAAGCTGGGAAGCCAAACTGAGCGGCAGCGACTGGGGCTTTGAGCTTGGACATCTATACGTTGGAGAGAATGGAATACCGCTCACCTTGTGGCATGGTCAGGACGACCAGAACTGTCCCGTCGCCATGGCCCACAAGGCTAGAGACCTGTTGCCCGGAAGTGTATTGCACCTGAAGGGTGGCGAAGGTCCCATGAGCTATATACACCGGAATGCTGATAACATCCTGGACGATCTCATGGACGAGGCGGAGAGCGAGGAGTACATGATGGTCGGTGTTGCGTAACTGCGCTGGTAGATATTATGCTGGCTCTGGACTTGGTTTCTTCTTTTAAAGTTCGTCCAACCAGGCTTTGGTCCACATTCCATAACCATCATCAGACCCAGTAGTTAACAGTTCACCACTTCACATTTGATTTTCGATGACCAGCTCAAGTAATTGAGATTGCGTGATAATCGTGCGTTTGAAATTAAGGTACTATGCGCCACGCGTGCAGCGCGGTCTAAATGGTATCCAGCGAATGTAGTAAGAATGGTATCATGCAGTAAGAAAAAGATCCAAAACACATCAGTCGTAAGAAACAGCCCGCCCTTCTGCCGACGCCCTATAATTTGCTGAAATTCCTCGTGATCATAACGACGACACCCGCAACAATCTTGAACGCTATCTTCAGTATGAATACCACGGCCTTGAACGCAAACGTCAACACAGTTATGACTGTACGTGCGACCAGCGGTAGTTTGCTTTCGTCATCAGCATTCGCTTTCTTCGCCTTCTTCTCCGATTTGGTTGGTTTCGCTTTCGTGTGCTTGTCTTGTCCGTACCACTCGCCCAACTCAATGTCCTTGTCGAAACTTCCCATCGCACTATCGCTACGAGTTGTTGTACTCTTCAGGCTAGAAGCAAACTTCTTGAGTCCTTTACCCGAGAGTGGCGGGCGCGACTTCCCACCGATACCCTGGAAGCCCTCGACAAAAGAGTCTTTGAACGCTTTTGCTGTGTCTTCTTTCTGGTGGTTCAGGGTGAAGCTTGGTGGTGGTGGCTCGAAGTTTTCTTGGCTTCGATTGCGTGTCTTGCGGCCGCGCGTAGCTTCCGCTACTGCAACTGCTAGAAGCGTGGACGTAAGAACATCAGTCAGGAAGGGATTGCCGAAACGTGTCAAGGCACCAAGGTTGAGAATGAGAGCGTCGTTTGCGAAGTCAAGACGTGCGAGCATGGCATCATCGGCAGTAGCGTCGGTGGTCGTAGGAAGTTGGCCAACAGACATCTCAGAAGGTGTCATAGATACTGGCCTCGTGCCGTCGAATCGCGGAGGAGGTGGTAGCGGAGAAAATGCATTTGTCCGGGGCGTCGTTGGAGAGAGAACGTATGGGTTCAGCACAGTGATGCAGGCTGGCTTCCGTCCGGTACTTTGTGGTGTCATGGGCATGTTATGCCCATAAAACGCCGTGATGGGTCTCGTCGACGGTGCGTTGATGACGGAACAGTCACCTTCCAGGGAGATTGGGAAGGTTCCCAATGTTGGATGATGGAGCTGATATGAACCCTCCGATGGCATATGTTGCGCCCAAGGATTTGCTTGTTGTTGAGGGTTGTCCCTCGTCCAGGCAAGAGCGCAGCACTCCCGTTGCGCAGTACCAGTTAGAACGTCTTCAGCCAGACGCTGTGCGGCGGGCGACTGGGCGCCTGGGTCTGAAAGCGCAATACGCGAGGCAGCAGGAGAGTTAGCAGCTGCATCAAGCGCCTGAAGAGCAGCCAGCTTTGGGTATATGCTAGTAAGGAGTGTGGTATCCTCTTGCTGTTGTGGACTGAATGCTCCGTTGTCTAGTGATGGAGGTGCGATAAGATCGAGATGAGCGATGGGCAAGACTCGCGGCTGGGTGGGGTGATGTCGTTGAATGAGCAGCTCGTTCATGATGCTGGGTACTTCGTGGTTACCTGCAAGGTTTGACTGTGCTACAGAGTAGAACGGTAACGATGGCGTTGTACCAAAGGTTATCGTCGGGTTCGAGGCTGTTGCTCGATGCATTCGCAGGGTATACATCTGCACACTGGGCTGTTCCTGTCCATTAGTGGCTAGCCAGAGATTGTCAAGAAGGTTGGATGGCGTGAAGAAGGGTTTTGGTGGTGGAGGAGCTGTCGAGTTGCTCGATCGAACGTTGCTGTGAGGGACATACGACTCAGAAGAGTACGGTGAGCGACTGATCTGGGTTCGAGGTATTTGTGTGGGCGATGCTTGGGTTGGCTGATATGGTTGACGTCCAAGAGGGACTGTGGGATCATAGACTGGGAACATTGACCGCATCGGAATCTCTTCTTGCGGTGACATGCATCTTGTAGCAGAGCTATTTGCTCGGACCAGAGTCTGAGCCTCGGAGAAAGCTGGTGAAATCGCGCGAGCAGGATCTGGGCTGGCGGTGCGTTGCTGGTCGTCCATTTGATTATGGCCATGACGTTCTTGTACACGGTAAAAGCTTTCTTGCCGCTCAAGTTGTGGAGAGGCAGTTTGCTGAGGGGGTGGTTCAAAGTATGGCCGACTCGTTGTATTTGACATTGGCGTTGTTGTAGCTTGTGAGCTGGAGATATGTGCTCTTGGCGGGGCCGCGATGGCCGGCGGGGGCGCCATTGGGTTGGAAGGCGATACTGGCACAGAGTTGACTTGGATGAGGAGTCCGTGGAGATCAACTGGTGTTTTGGCGCTTACGGCGCTCTCTGTTGCTAATGGTTCTTGATTGGTTGGCTTTGGGTGAGGAGATGGTCGCGGGTTGGGACTCGTCTGTCTTGGAGCACGAGGAGGAGGAAATAGTTGGAGTGCTGGTCCAGCCATAATGAGTGCTTGCTATCCTACTCTTTTGATAAATGATACCCCGAAATAACTAGCGGGACCAAACAACAGATACCGGCTGTGTAGAGAAGGGAACAAAGACTGAGAACAGCAACACCGGGAGTACGACGTCTCGGGTAATCTGGGGATAACGACTATAAGACGAGCATTCTGCGAGGCACTCCGAGCCATCGGAAGAGCCGTGGCATGCAGCCAGGGCAATAGCGGTACAAAGAAGACTTCCCATGCAGGAAAACCCTCTTCTCAGCCAGGTGGTGGTCAGATGGGCCCAATCAAGACGTGTCTAAGGCTCGGCGCTACTCAGGGTTGATGAGCGGCGGTTATATTTTGGGTGGTTGGCTGCTGCTTGCTGTAAGCGCCAACGCTGTTCACTCGCTACACTCCCCGCCGCACTAGCTTGAGATGAGAGAATGCCTGCATTTGGCGATGATTGGTAGACGGTATGTGCCTGCCCTGCGTCGGGGTAGCATATGCATGTGACAAGTGGCCAGTCCGGCGGCCCGCTGCGAGTCGTCGATCTATTTCGAGCGCTCAAAACCTTTGCCAACATGCCACTTTCGATGTGCATCATGAATGCTGTGAGAGGGATGTCTGTTGTCGTACCTGCCCTGTGACAGCACGAGAGTCGGGGCGTGGTTTTTCATCATTGTTGTAGCCGGAATTGAACTCATGAACATCGTTTCATAGTTCCACGGGCTTTGATCATGCAGCGCTGGCGGATGAAGGCCTGTTTTGGCGTAACAGCGTTTGGTGGGGCTACGGCTTGAAGCCACCAAGCTTTCGGCGGTAAGAGGGCGCACGCAGCAGTCGAAGTGCACGCAGCCGCCCTCGCACCAAGACAACTCTGGCTCAGGCATCGCATTGGCAGCTTATCGCACACTTGACCAGGACGCCACCCGTGCAAGATGGCCTGATTACAAGACTTGGTCGCTGGGTAATGTGCTGAGTGACCCGGACTAAGGCCGAGCTTTCAACGGAGCTGTTGCTGGGCAGCTGTGGTGGTAAGTGTCCAAGGGCTTGGTGGTCAAAAGACAATGACGGGGTCATGTCGTTCTTGTTAAGAATAGGCAGGGCAATATGCATTAGATGAAGCAATCAGCGGGTATCACCTCGCTGCAGTGGCCAGGCATGCATCTCGCGACAACGCGCAGCGAAGATGCGGGATGCACGCTAAGCTTATCGATAAGCGAGATGTGCAGCCGAGAAAAAGTTGGGCCTTCGTCATCGCGCACGACAGTCACGCGAAGCCAGCCATAGCCACGATGCCGTCAGAGTTAGAAGAGGTAAGAAGCCAAGCATTCGAGGCTTTGGTGTTCATCGGCGGCTAATACTTCCTTTCCAGCTTGTGGAATTCCTGCACCACGGCAACACGCAGATCAGGCAGACTGGTCAGACGAACCCCTCCACCCCACCACGAAACACAGCTCACACTATGCAGCGGCCGACCACCTCGTCGGATACTCACAGGCCAACGTCTCCCTGTGGAAGCGCAATCAACTAGAGCCCATCAGGGATCTGAAGCTACTTGTCAAGGACTATGCGCCCATAGCAAAGAACGCCCTGACCATCCTCATCAATGTTTCCGCCGACGCCGAGGTCCAGAAGGCGCTGGCAAAGGACGACGACTTCCTCGAAACGCTCTTATCGCGGATAACCGTATGTCAGTTCCCCCTGTGTATAGCCAAGGACTGTCAAAGGCTGACCTGCTGCAGAACTCCAAAGAGCCCAACGCCAACGAGATCGCAATGCTCCTCGCCAACATGGCAAAGGACGACTCGCTACAGCGCGTCTTGGAGTTGAAGCGCGACATACCGAAAGAACTGTCCAAGTCAACGTGGGCTATGGACCAGCTCATGGACTGCTTTGTCAAGGGCGCAGAGGGCGCGTATAACAAGAACGCAGATTTCGACTACCTTTCCTACTTCTTCGCCGATCTGGCCAAGTTTCCCAAAGGTCGCGAATACCTCACCACACCGCAAGAGCACGACGACAACGTTATCCCTATCACCAAGATTCAGGTCTTCACAGACCACGCCTCGCACATCCGCCGCCTTGGCGTAGCCTCGACGATTAAGAACGTCGCTTTCCACGTCCCTGCGCATCCAGTGCTACTATCGAATCTATCGCCCGACCCGAATCTCCCACCTCCATCTATCGGTGCAAATCTACTCCCATACATCCTTCTACCCCTCATGGGCCCAGAAGAGTACGCAGATGACGACACAGAGGGCATGCTGGATGAGCTACAACTCCTTGAGCCGGACAAGGAGCGCGAGAAGGATCACGAAATCATCAAGACTCATCTCGAGTCACTGCTTCTGCTGAGTACGACACAAGAAAGTAGAGAAGTGTTGAGGCGCGTCAAAGTATACCCGATCGTCAGAGAGTGCCACATGCATGTCGATGACGAATCAGTCCAAGAAGCATGTGACCGTGTGGTCCAGGTCATCATGCGCAAAGAAGAAGGCGAAGAGGAGGATATACCAGACATGGCTAGTGCAGGTGGTAGCGGGAAGCTAATGGAATTGGAAAATGCCGAAGACGATGAAGACGAGAAGATTGTTGACATTGTCTAAACGGGAGATGCATGCAATACCAATGATATTCTCAAGTCGCAAGACAGCAGTCAAGTCTTGCATCCAAGTAGCGTGCTAGATCTGATTGGCGGTGATACCGGGGATAACAGCCTCGCTCAAAACTGTTCTCGGCTCCTCAATTATGGATCTCTGCCGAACTTGGTCGAAATAGGAAGGATCCCGTCATCGACTCTCAGTACCTCAACCTTTCTGCATCTTATCTGCTTTGCTTCTACCTCCTAGTTTCTATACCACATTTCGCGCCGCTACTATTGTTATAGTCATTCCTTGTTGGATAGCTTTTTGGAAGCGTATCATGTGCGTGACGTGAGTCGGAGTATGTCAACGAGCGACTTGAAGAATGGTGGGGGCCGAGGGATAGTACCAGCCACCGACGAAAGTGCAGTTCAGACAGCAGCCTCACCACCAACGGACTGTCCACCAAGAGAAGGACTAAGGCAGAATGGAGGCATAAAAGAGACGGGGGAAGCGAAGCAGTCAATTTGGAGAAGGATTCACACAATCCTGACATGGACGCCGCCGAACTGTCGCTGGGATCCGGACAAACCACCGCAATTCTCCATGAGCAGTACGTATTTTCGCAACATTTCATGAAGTAGCCCAATTTGGATAAAGCCCCATCTACGATACAGCCCCCTGAGCTCTTGATGAGCCGCAAACAGGATTCCAGCTAATCACCATCGTCCCAGTGAACGTTCTGTTCGCCTTTGCAGCCGGCTTTACAGTGGCAAACCTTTACTACAACCACCCCATCCTCAATCTACTAGCCGCAGACTTCGGCGTGCGCTATGAGCAAGTCGCACAGATTCCCACTGTGATGCAAGCTGGCTATGCCGCTGGACTACTCTTTCTGTGTCCGTTGGGAGATTTGTTGCCTCGACGGCCATTCGTATGTGGCTTGGTAGGGTTCACTGCGACACTGTGGTATGCTATCCTGCAATCTGAGGCATGCTGAGAGAAGACTACTGACAATAAAACAGGCTAGGACTATGTCTCACATCTGACCTTGGCACCTTCACAGCCATATCGTTCATCGTAGCGGTAACAACAGTAACCCCACAACTCATGCTCCCGCTCGTGGGCGACCTAGCTCCTCCATCACGCCGCGCAGCAGCCCTGTCTATCGTCGTCTCCGGGCTCATGCTCGGCGTGCTCGTTGCCCGCGTCCTCTCTGGAACGATCTCGAACTTTGTTACCTGGCGCGCAGTATACTGGATGGCGTTTGCCCTACAGTATATCATTTTCGTCCTCCTCTGGCTCTTCATGCCAGATTATCCGGCGACCAATCCCGGCATGAACTACTTCCGAATCCTACTCGACATTGTCAAAATGTTGTTCCGCCACCCCGTTCTCGTCCAGGCATGTCTAGCAGGTCTCTTCTGCTCAGCGCCTTTTACATCGTTCTGGACCACCCTGACGTTCCTCCTCGCCGGCGATCCATATAACTACTCATCCCTGACAATCGGTCTCTTCGGTCTGATAGGCATAGCAGGCATGCTCATTTCACCCATCTACGCGCGTACAGTCACCGACCGCTTCGTTCCGCATTTCTCCGTACTCTTTGGCCTCACATGCTCTCTCATTGGTATATGTCTCGGCACCTACACTGGAACCTTTACGGTCGCAGGCCCTGTCCTTCAAGCCCTGTTGATGGATTTCGGCAACCAGACTGCGCAGATCGCTAATCGTTCGAGCATCTACTCCGTCGAGCCTAAGCGGCGCAACGGAGTGAATACTGCTTTCATGGTCGCTACATTCTGCGGTCAACTTATTGGTACGGCGGCTGGGAACCATATTTACGCCGCTGCTGGTTGGATTGGGAGTGGAAGTGCTAGCGTGGGTTTCATCTCCGCAGCGCTTCTTGTCATCATTGCTAGGGGTCCATGGGAGGAGAAATGGGTTGGGTGGAGGGGTGGCTGGAGCATGATCAAGAAGGATAAGGACAGTGCTGATGGTAAGACGGCGGATAAAGAGATGCATGGGAGAAATGTGGTAAGAGATGAAGAAATGGGCGTTGATGCTAATGAGAAGGTATTGGAGGAAGTTGCTACGGAAGAGGGGCACGAGAGTCCGTTGAGAGACGGTAATGGCAGCGAGAAGAATATTGAAGAAGGTGGGGTTACAGAGCCAAAAGCATGAGAAGTGTTGGTAGAGAATTTGAGTACATGCAGAATGATAGTATAGCCTCAATGTCGTATCACAAAACGCTACATGCATAGAGTAATCCATGTTCTGCAATTCATGTATTATGTACTGATAGACCCGAGCAAGTAGTGCCCGCACGTCTCCCCATTACCAGCCTTTGCTGTCGTCCCCTACGCTAATGCAATTTACCAAGGGACAGGCTGGATATCGCATTCGCTATCGTGCTGACCACACGCGGTCTCAGACTACGCAGGTTTCGGTGCGTTTGACGCATTCATGAACGCGTTAATGTGCTCCTCGGAGGGCATCTTCTCCAAAGGGGTAAGCCAGCTCTTGGCCTTGTCGAAGCTAGACACTGCCTTGACGAGCTTGATGAAGACCTGCGTGTTGGTCTTGTCAACACGACCCTTGAACTTGACAATGAGATTCTGAATGTTCATGCCTTGGGGTGGCAACGATTCGTAAATCTCCTTGGCAGATGGTAGGGAAGGCCGCGATGGGGCTGCAGAGGGACTACCTGCGCGGCTGCCACTGGCAGTAGGACTGCCTGCACGGCTAGCACCAGGAGTGCCGCTCGGAGATGCGCCAATCATGATGCGGTTTTTGTCCTTCTTGTCCTTCTTCCGCTTCTTGCCGGCGTCAGTCATCTCGCTGTCGCTACCAGACCCTGCGCCCTTGAGATTAGCAAGGGACGACTTCCGGGATCCATCAGCCAGCTTGTCATGCTTCTTCTTATGCTTCTTGCGCGAGGACTCGTTGCCGCTAGCTTCTGAGAGGTTGGGTGAGCCCGGCCTCTTCTTGCTCTTGCTCTCGCCAGATTTGTGGTTCCCCGAGGGGGTATTGGTGCCCTTGGTGGATGCACCAGAGGGGACGTTACCAGCTTCCGGTGCCTTGCCATTCTGCTCGGCTGCCTTCTTCTCTGCCTCTTCCTTGGCCTGTTGACGCTCCGTCTCGGAGTCGGTGTCGGACTCACTTTCCGTGATGTACGGGTTCTCTGGATCGCTGTCGAGGTAGTCATATTGCTTTTCGCGTTTGACTAGGGCTTTTCGGGTGCCCTTTTCTTGGATCCTCCTCTCCTCAGCCTCCTTCCGCTCTTGTTCTTCCTTGATCGCAATAGCCAGTTCATCGGGGCGATCCCACAGAGCAGCCTGCAGTTGGTCTCGCTTGAGCTTTTCTGCAGCTTCTTTGACATCCTGCTCTTCACCTTCAAAGAGACCATTCAGACCCTCTTCGTCGTCGGCAAAGTCTTCCTCAAGGTTAAAGTCGATATCGTCCGCGTCAGCTTCGCGCTTAACAAATCCGGTTGCGTCGTCGTCGGGGCGCTCGCGCTTGATCCTGCCTTCGTCGTCTGCGCCGCCGCCGACACGGGTACGGACTCCGCTCCACATCTTCGCATTGTTCTCTGCATTGACGCGCTGCTTCTGACGCTCTTCGAGTTCGGCGAAAAACTTGGGTCCGCCGCCTCTCTCAACTTTGGCCAGAATCTTATCGAGATCATCGCCGCCAGTCTTGACCTTGCCCTTGACGTTGAACCGATACCAGCGCTCCATAGGGGCCATCTGGATTGCAGTACTGGGGTCGCCGGGGCGGGTGGTCGACAGCATGACATGTGTTTCAGACAGCTCCGACTCGTAGGTGCCGACCCACGTCTGTTTGTTCTCAAAGTCCTCCAAGTGCCATGGCAACGTCTCCTCGTAGCGCAGGAGTTGCCGCTTCTTTGCCTCTGGAGTGTCATCGGGCCGGTACTTCTGCTCCGTCTTCTTGTGGAAGGCGGGAGGCTTCTTCATGCCAGTAGGGGCAATCTTGGCTTGGTTCTCCTCGCGAACCTTGCGACGCTCCTCCTTCTGCAGCTCGATGCGCTCCCGCTCCTTCATTTCTTCCATGTCCTCCTTCGTGTCTTCCTCTTCGTACGTGGAGCCCATACCGCTTGGAGGCGCGCGGGGATCTCGGCGGTGGAGCTTGATGGGCGTCTTGAACTGGTTGTCGTCGGTGATGTCGACGTGCGTCTTGCTCTGCAGACGCATGACATGGTGTCGCAGCTCTTTCAGATCCTTGCGGCTGACGATAAGTGGGTAGATGCTGGCGCCTTGAGCGAGGAACTCATTTCGCAACGCGTCTTTCGACTGCGTGCCATCGTTTGCGGGCCCGGCGACGGGCTTCTTGGCCTCATTCATTTGCGACAACGAGACCATGGGCCTTGTGATGTTCTGTAGCGGACGGCGGGGCTTGCGCAGGACATCGGCCTGCGGACGTGGGCGACGGCGACGAACAGGCGGCTGCTGGCCATTGGCGGCGACGGGCGCAGCGGGCGCGCTGGCGGACGGCGGATTGCCGTTCATGTTGCCGTTCATGTCGGAGGCAGCGGTGGGATGGAGACACGAGCGAGAGGCGATGGGCAGACGATAGTGAGGGTGGGGAGACGCCGTCACCTTTGTCCCAAGGAGTTCCTTCAACTTCGGCCTGTGTCGCGCGCGAACGTCACAGCTCCACGCTAGTGCCTTAGCGCGCCAAGCCCGTTTCCAGCGAAAGCCGTCTCCGCCTTCCCAAACAGTGCCACCACCCAGCGACTGCCCGATCCAGTTCGTCATCGCTTCCACGGTTCTGCGCGAGGAATGAGCCACCATAAGAATCGCGCACTTCCAGCAATCCATTGCGCAAGAGCCACCGTGGACGTTTGATCCAATCCTGCCGAGGCCTTATCGCTTTGGCTAGACAAGACATTCACCCATGGTTGCCTGGTGTGAATAGTCTTCCTATAAGATCCATCAACTGGGGCCTCCAATCGCTTACTCCCATAGTAATCGCCAGAACTGCCACGGGCCACACCAACCAAAGTCATAGGAAACATCCACAACTTAAAACGCCAGAATCACTTCCTCTGAATACGAGTTTGGCCTAATAAGATCTCTTCCCTGCCCCTCTTTCACCGCTGGACTTCGTCAAACCGGATACACACTCCACTACTTGCCTACACCGCCAACGGTTTCAAACTAATCCGACATCATGGAGCAGGAAAATGCATCACAGCCCACTGGGCTCGAGAATCAATTGCGCAATATGATTCTCGGCAACGTTAGCATAGCCGGTGGACAGTCTGGCCAAGACGCCCCGTTACCACACCGTGGACGCGGACGAGGCCAAGGAAGAGGACGTGGCCGCGGTCGTGGAGGTTTCCACGATACCGTCAACAATTTCAACAGCAACGGTCAGGGCCACACAACTCCAGGTCCTACTCCAGATCAAGCTCAAGGATGGCGCGCCCACGCTTCCGCCAACACGGCGCCAACCCGAGGGGGTGGAAGAGGCTTTGCTTCCAATCAGCGATATCAGCAACCTCCGCGAACCTTCCCAGACCAGCAAGGCCCAAATATCTCTCAAAATGGCCCACAGGTAGACAATCGACAGTATCATTCACGAGGGCGAGGGCGGCCCCATCAACAACAAAATCTGAACGCTGATGGTACACCACGTACACAGCCCCCTAGAATCCTGCAACGGCCTCATGATAATTTCGCACTGCAAGGCCAAATCCCGGTAGGTCCAGCATCGACACAGCGTCCCCGTCCACAAGGGCAATATCCTCCTCGACCACCGATGAATCAACCACGAGAGAACTCCATGGCCCAAGTCGAACACTTGGACGCAATTGCAGCAGCCGAGATTCCGAAGGTGGAGATGTCCAGATCCGAGTCGGAGGCCAAAGAAGACTTCCGAAAGCACCTGGAAACCATCATGCAAGAAGCTTTTGCCAGCGGCTACTCTGGTGATATCTCGACTATCTCCTTGGTAGGCTTTGGCAGCTTAGCTTCCGGCTTTGGTATGCCCGGCTCAGACATGGATCTGGCAGTAGTGCCAATATGGAAAGATCCAGCGAGGGCTAGTGATATTGCCATTGATCGTGGCATCCCGCGTTTGCTGGAACGGGCAGTTCTCGACGCCAAGCTGGGTGGCCGTCTACTCACAAGGACGAGAGTACCAATTCTAAAGATATGCCAGACGCCAACCGAGACCTTGTATAATGCTCTCGCCGAGGAACGCCAGAAGTGGGAAGAGCTTCCGGAAGAGGAGAAGTACCCTTCAGACAAGCCACAAGAGGCCACCCCACCGCCAAAGCCGCTGGTAGATGTTGATGGAGCAAAAGCTTCAGAGCTTACTGCGCAGTCAGACAGCCCTAACTTTGGTGACGACTTCCCTACACTAGGTGCTGCGGCAACTACCAAGAAACGACAAAAAGCTCCTGCAAAAGTTGAGACCGCCCAGGAAACCTCCATTATGTCGGCCACCAAGTCAGAAGACAGTGTCAGCAACGGAACCGATGATAAGGCTAAGAAAGATCAGCATCACCGCCCTGAGAAGCAGTGGATGCGAGAGAAGGTAGTCGGTCCCCTCGACTTTCCAAAGACGGGCTGCGGTATTCAATGTGACATCAACTTCGAAAATCCACTCGGTATCCATAACACTCATATGCTTCGATGCTACTCCCTAACTGACCCTCGTGTACGGCCAATGGTTCTCTTCGTTAAGTCATGGGCCAAGCGACGAAAAGTCAACAGTGCATACTCTGGCACTCTCTCTTCATACGGATGGGTACTTATGGTACTGCATTATCTGGTCAATGTCGCCCAACCACCGGTGTGTCCAAATCTCCAACTCGCAGTCCCGCTCCCGAGCGACACAGTAGCTCTAGAGCAGTTCTTCAAGAACACGACTATAGCAGGTTATCAGGTCCGCTTTTGGCGCAACGAGCCGGAGATCATCCAGGCCGCGCAAGCCGGTCGCCTTTCACAGAACACACAGTCTGTCGGCGAATTGCTACGCGGATTCTTCCAGTACTACGCTTCTCTATCCGGGTACGGCTATGGACCCAAGCCCCCGCAATTCTACTGGACCAACGAAGTCCTGTCCCTTCGGACGCCTGGCGGAATCTTGTCGAAGCAAAGCAAGGGCTGGGTGAGCGCGACAACCAAAATCACGGCGGAGAAAAAGGTCACGAATCGGTATCTGTTCGCAATTGAAGATCCGTTCGAGACCGATCACAATGTCGCAAGGACCGTCACTCACCGTGGTATCGTTGCCATCAGAGACGAGTTCAGGAGGGCATGGAGGATACTAAAGGCCATTGGCCAGAGCACAGAGCCCGAAGGTGGAATTTTCGACGAAGTTGTAGAGCAGCCGCCCGCCCAGTCTGAGCCAAAACCTGAAGATGCTCCAAAAGGCACTATGGAAAGTCTTGGCGTCGATGAAGAACCGGAGAGTGAACAAGGCAGCCAAGCGATTGCAGTGTAAGATTAGGTGTACATCGATTCGACAGATATGATGTAGGGCTCTCGAAGAGCTGGAAAAGACTATACTATATTACCGAAGTTATGAGATAAACGATGACCGACTTTGTAATATATCAACCTCATCTCAAACCTGAAGCCATCCGTCTAAATCTTGATCCATGACCAAGAATTCGTCAAAAGCTGTGCCAAGAAATTCATCCGGTATGTTGTAGGAAAGCTGCATTTGCGAGGCATCCTCAAATGCCGGCGGATTAAAGCCAGAAGTGATGTCTGCCAAGAATAAAGAGGAAACCTCTCCATGTTCTCCACCTGCCAGATTACCTGCTTGGCTGTCTGTTTCCGGGTCCCTCCCCAATTTACCCAGAACAGCTTTCACCGCTCTCACGGCCGTTTGCGCTTCTTTCGAGAAACCCTGTTGCTGTTCCCAAACACTCCTCGAAGTCTTGAGTGCTTCCACGCTTTTCTGTGCGACTTCTTCCCCGATCAGCCCTCTCTTCATGTCGTCATTCAGATTGAGACACAGGACTGTTGTGGCTAGCAGGAACTCGGACTGGACCAAGGAGAGGATCTTCCATCGATCAGTATGTAGCATGCGGCCCGGCTGGCACTGCTCGAATAATTCTGCTTGTAGTCGTAACATTGTTAATGCTGCGCTTATGCATGTCGAATGAGAGAGCTGGTATTTGCTGTTCGTCTTTGCAAGGATGATGAACTTGCGGTGGAGTGTAATCTGCGCGTGGTGGTACGACATCGCTATATATAGACGACGGGTGATGAGCTCTGCGCCATCTAAGATGGATTGCTGCATAGACTTCAACTGGAGTACGGAAGGTTTCTGGGCATACGCTTTGTTGAGTAGCGTATCTAAGCGCATTGCTTCGTCATAGTCTCGCTGCTTCGATGACGTCGTGAAGTCGCAGATCATTCCATAGACGGAGACTATCCTGCTCTTGTATACTAGGAATTGGCACAGCGTGTGCTCGTGTTGTGGTCTAGCAGGCGGTAAGGTGGTGGAAGTGTCGTCAAAGTCATCATCAACGAGATTGCGGGGCTCAGCGGTGTCGCATTGAGTTTCCTTTATGATTCGCGGAAGACCGACCTCAGAAGCTGAAGCGATGTCAAATTGCGTGAGAATGTACCAGATACGCCTGCGCATTTCGGCCTCATAGACACTCATCTGCGGGAAACGCGAGCCATCGCGGTGGTAGCCCATCTTGAGCGCTACGCGTATTATGACACCCGTTAATTGCCAACAGCCCTGTTGTGTGTCTTCGCCTTGAACGTATTCGGTCTGAAGGAAAGCCAGTAAGGCCTCGATGGTATGCGGTACGCCCTTCATGTAGTTACCTAGCCTAAGACATTGTATCATCTTCTCTCGTGAGATGATGATCAGGCTGTGATATTCGGCTGCTGTCGTCTCGTCCAATGAGGCCGCACCGCCGTTCATGAATAGCGTACAATAGGCTACTGTATACATCATACCGTATAATATAGTCAGCCACATGGTTGACATCGAAAGCGGATCTTCCCAAAACGCTTCGTATTGTTTGATAAAGACCTTGCGGTGAATGACAAGTGAGACGGGCATGTCCGCCCATTTGAAGTATTTCGAGATCATGCTATCGACAATTATGCGGGGCGGAATCGCAGCGACGATATCCATTTTTGTAACTGGGTATGTTTGGAGAAGAAACAGGTCGTTTCCAGGGAGTGTTGGCTCAGTATGTTGTGGTTCTTCAACTTGTTCCTGTACCATGTCTTTCAGGTCACTAATCTCATCCAGGATGGCTTTCCAGTGGTCACTCTCGACGTATGAAGACTGATGGTCGTTGAGGTTTATCCGTCCAGCTTCATATACGAGAGGATCCACCGCGGCGACGGATTCTGTAGTCTCGTGGGTCGCTAGATTCCCCGGCATCCGAGCATCAGGGGGTTTTTCTTGTTTATCAAGCAAAGACCGGACGAGCGACTCCAGCTGATCAATTCGTTCCTCGAACGCCTTTCGCGTGGCGCTCTCTATCGGTCTGTCTTTTTGTGGAGCTCGCGGAAGTTGGGGTAGAGGGAAGCTGCACCCTGCCACTTGCCCTAGTCGAATGCAGCTCCCGCAAGGCTTGTTTCGATCACATCGAAGTCTAGACATTTCTTGTTAGGTGTCTTGGTAATAAGGTAAATCACTTCCTTACTTTCTCTTCCTGCAGAAATCACAGGATAGCTGGGCCTTCTCCCGACCTCTCATTCTCTCTAGCAGTCGTTCCGAGGAAATAGGCGAGTTTGTCATCTCTCTGGTTTGCTTCAGGCGTACTTAGGAGATGATGAGGTGGCAACACAAGCACGATACGCACGGAATAACTTAGGTCGGCGGCTATATACATGGGCCGTATCTTACCAGAGCTTTTACACTAAATCGCACATTCTTCCTAATGGGGTCGTATGCGTCAGAGTAATCGAAGTAAGCCTACGGACGGCAGGTGGCTTAAATGTGGGCCCAAACGGACGTCCGCTGGCCTCTGATTGGTACAATGCTCCGCGTCCACGAGATTGCATTGCAAGCAGGCATCAAGTCCAGGAGCTGGTAGAAGTATAAGATGGAAAGGAATCTAGGTGTTGAGAATGCTGCAAAGAAAGATACTTCAAACTTTATCATTATTCAATATCTTGAGAACGCACATCTAATCACTTCTCCGAGTCCTCATCTTCTACACGATGCCTACCAATCTCGCAGCATGGATGCCAGCACCGAAGCAACGCATGGAAGTCTCGGAAGCGCCATTTCCTACTCCTGGGCCAGATGAAGTTATCGTCAAGAATCGTGCAGTGGCGATCAATCCCGTTGATTGGGTTTTGCAAGACCAGGGCACCAGTATGGCGTTCGGTTGGATCAAATATCCTTTTGTTTTCGGCTTTGATGTCGCTGGCGAAGTGGTTCAGGTCGGCAGCAAAGTGGTACGGTTCAAAGTAGGAGACCGTGTTCTAGGTCAGGCGCACAGTACAGACAAGAAGATCAACAGCGCGGCATACGGAGCATTCCAGCTGTTTCCCGTTCTCCTGGAAAGGAACACATCGTCTATTCCAGACAGCTTGTCATTTGAATCTGCTGCAGTGATACCTCTGGCTTTCACTACCGCTGCAGCAGGGCTGTTCGAGAAGGATCAGCTCGGTCTGCAATATCCTCAACTTCACCCGAAACCGACCGGAAAGACGGTCCTTGTCTGGGGAGGCTCGACTAGCGTAGGCTGCAACGCTATCCAACTCGCTGTTTCCGCTGGATACGAAGTCATATCGACATCTTCACCAAAGAACTTCGATCTCATGAGATCCTTCGGTGCTAGCAAAGTCTTCGACTACAACGACCCCTCTACAGTCGACAAGATCGTCGGGGTCATGGAAGGGAAAGAATGCGCGGGAGCCTTGTCTATTGGAGAGAACGCAGTTTTCCATTGTCTAGACGTCTTGGGCAGATGTAAAGGCAATAAGCGTATTGCAATGGCGACATATCCAATCCCGGCTCAACCGAAGCGATTTGTCGCACTGCAGATCATCTGGAGCTTCGCCACTTCGATGATCTCCATCACCATCAAGTCACAGTTGAGAGGTATCAAGACAAGTTTCGTGTACGGATCGGTGGCGCATTCCCCTGTCGGTAAAGCCGTGTACGCCGACTTCCTGCCTGAAGCACTCGCGACTGAGAGGTTTCGAGCAGCTCCCGAGCCCATTATCGCTGGAGAGGGCCTAGAAGCCATTCAAGAAGCTTTGCATATTCAGAAGAAGGGAGTTTCGGCAAGAAAGGTGGTGGTAAGCCTGAAGTGATACCGGAAGTTGTGATCTGGATTTGCAAGTTTGCTGCCCTGAAACTTTCTTAGTGGACGAGCTCAGGGGTCTAGTACAATTACTCAGTCTTTAGAGGTTTTTTGACATGTGCGTACCTCTCCGCGGGCAAATAAAGAATCTGTTCAATGCCAGTTTTGGGGAATGTGTGAAATAGGCGCGACGGTCTGGATGCGTTCTTTACGGTGATGTAGCTGACTGACTGCTTTAGCGCACGCCGCCTGCATGCAGGTGCAACCTGCCCCACGCATCACCTCAGCCCCAGCATTCAGCTTTAGCACGGCCTGATCGCAATTCATCTCGTTCATCGCGCAACGCTGCATGATCTTCTCCAACATGCCTTCGAGATGTCTGCCACTTATTACGACAACTCAACATCACGCGAAGACCGCCGTGTTGTTCGCCGCCGGCTAGTCAATTGGTTACACTGGCCCGAAACGACAGGTCAGTCGCAATTCACTAACCAGAAACTTGACTTGAGCGAACGTTCCCGTCCGGATATCGAAGACGATGCGCTTATCTCGTGGGGTCTGAAGCAAGCCGAGGGGTCGAAGGGCGGCAATACGACGATTAACGTGTTGTATGGAGAAGAACAGCACCTTCGTGGGTGCCACAAGAAAATGAAGCCGTGATGAGGTTAACGAAGCCCAAGAATGGCGAGACAACATTGATGACGACGATTTGGAGCATATATTGCAGGTGTGTGTCAGCCATAGCAATACTAATGAGTAATTTTGACTCTTCAGACTCAACCGACAAGTACAGGAGAGCACTCGTTGCGGATGTGGTACGTGTAATGTTTGTAAACCTCAGCAGAGCGCTGAAGAACACGACTTCGGCCAAATAAAGTCCAAGAAAGATATGGAGACATCACAAGCCAGGGTAGCAAGATGACAAGGTTCTCAAAGCTTCCTGAACACATTGGAACCAAGCAGCGGTTGGCTACCAGGAAACTTCGAGATTCGGTCCCGAACCTTCCGCCTTCTGAGGGATTTCGGTTTGTCGAAAACGCTACTGAAGAACATATACTCCAAAGATACTTATTGGGCTAAGATGGGAAACCAGCTGTTCTTGGGTCGCAATGAAAAGGGCGATCTGCTCTCGTTTGGTACGATACATGTCTACCCTCTTGTACACACATTGATTGAACTTATGAACAGATACTTGCTACCAATACGTATGCGGTTGGGATACTGGTGTCAGTTTCATCAACTGCATACGCACTCCGAACCAGACTACCTACTTCTGCATCAACTGTCCTACTCCCACCGTTTCTCGCTTGAGAGACATTGTAGAAATCAAGCCACTCCTGGCTCACCGCGACTTCCTGCTCGATTCGCTAGTTGCAGACGACTGTCTGAAGCAGTGGCAGCTGGATATCGGAAGCCGTCGTGACAAGCTCATTCATTATGTCCGCATTGCTTCCCTTCATAATATAAGCAAATCTAACGACCCTTACAGGAGCGAGTCTACGACGAAAACCTTGATACGTTTCGAGAGGCTACGATTGAGCTTCATCAACTTGCAAGATCATGGCTTACCCTCAGACAAGATAGCCAGGATCTTTACGCACAACTGCACTTTCTACGTGAATCTTACGTAAAGTACAAAGAAGCTGTGGGAAATTCCGCGAAGCTGTGGAGTTTGGACCAAACAGACATGTGCGAGTCGTTCGATATGCTCATATCGGCCTGCGATACTTGTAGCAGATGGACAAGTGTATACCACGAAAGGACAAGCCTCAGAATCAACCTAGTCAGTATAACTCTTCATCTGAACGAAAAGATCTTAACTCAGTATACCAGCTCTTCCAGCTGTCGAATCAGAGGGATTCGAAAACTAACATCAAAATCGCGGACGCTACTGCAGATGTCGCACTACTGACACAGCGTGACTCTGCGTCCATGATCACTATTGCCGCCGTTACGATGCTTTTCTTACCCGGCACTTTCATCTCCGCGATTCTAAGCACAACTTTCTTTGACTACGGAGACGACGGCTTGCGCATTTCACGAAGATGGTGGATACTTCCTGCTACCACGATACCGCTGACGGTCATCGTATTTGCCATCTGGCTGGGTTGGCGATACATGAGGCTGAAGAAAGTGGGCAACGAGAAGAAGAAAACACAGATAGTGCCTATCTGAGTAGCTATCGTCAAATCCGAAGAGTGGTGCTGCATACAGGGCTGTGAACCTTCACCTTGAGAGCGACCACTCTGAATGGCTGAAAGAAACTCGAGACGTTTCGATTCCTCAATTTGTACGAAGGATGATCGCGGCATGGAGAGCGTGCAGAGGGTGCTCGAGATAGGCTGCCTATGGAGATGCAGGGTTACTCCATGTATATTACGAGGCCGATTCCAGCTAAAGCACCGGCCTGTGTAAACTTAAATGCCTGGGTATAATCTACATCTTGATGTCAAAACTTGTCCCACACCCACAACTACTCGTCGCCCCCGGTATGCCGGTGATCTTGAACTGGCTCCCGATCAACTCCATGGTATAGTCCACCGTGCTTCCATTCAACAGCTCCAAACTCGACTCATCGATAACGATCTTCTCTCCCTTCTCTCCCTCAAATATGGTATCTTCCTCGGTCGCCGGGTTCTTGGAGAGATCGGTCAAGTCCATGAGGTACTGGAAGCCGTGGCATCCGCCGCTCTCGATGCTTACGCGCAATGCGAGGTTCGGATTGTTATCGCCCGAGGAGATCTTCTGAAGCCGGTTCGATGCACGAGGTGCTATCGAGATCAGCATGGGGTTGCCGGAGTCGTCGGTGCGTGGGTTTTGGATCGCTTGAGCGGGCTTTGCGGTGGAGGCGTCGGATGATGTGGCGAGGGCTCGTCGTGGTATGTGTTGTGGTTGCAAGAATGCTAAACCTTGTACTGGGACATGTCTTGAAGTCCCTCGTGGAGATGATGGCGCAAGAAAGTCGAGGAATAGCGATCGCGAAGTGGCGTGCGGTGCTGCTCTGCTGTACGCTCGCATCGATTGAGCTGCGGCGGCGATAGGTTGGGCCGGCCGCCGTTTCGTTGTTTGTCTTACTATCCGCAGGCACGACGCGCACATGGTTGAAGGGGAGGCCATTATCGTGATATCGAGGATGTGGAGGGCGCTGTCGCGATGAAGGTTCGCGAGTCTGAGGTCATAGCTAGGAATGTCACAGCCGATAGGATCCAATCAGACGTGCCCTCACACTCGGGGTTCTAGACCCGCTGAGTCAGGCACAAACCCCACCTTGTGCCGCCGCCACCATCCATCGTACGAGCACCAGACTGTTCCAGCCTTACCCGCTCAAGCTATCTACTTATCG